TCATCATGCTCATGGTGCGTGGACTTCCATGGGCTGAGTGTCCCCAAGAACAAATTTTAGGACAGTGGGATCTCCATGGGCTAAACTTCCCCAGGAACAATCTTTAGGGTGGTGGGAGCTCGATGCACTGAGCATTCCCAGGAACAATCTTTAGGGTGGTGGGAGCTCGATGCACTGAGCATTCCCAGGAACAATCAGGACGAGGTCTGAGCTGCACCCACGGCAGTGTGATTCACAGCTGAGTGCTGTCCCATGCCCAGTGCACCGCTCCTCATCTGCTCGTTGTCACGGGGCTCAGCGCGGTGACGCAGAGGAGTGATGGTGACTCACCTGCAGAAAGAGGAACGGAACAAGGAGTGTCAGCGGCGTTCCAAGGAGTGGGGCTCCGTCCAGGACCGGCTTTCCCTGCAGGGTGAAGGTGCTGTGTGTCGCTGCTCCATGGACCAGGCACAGCGCCTGGGTCGGCACTGCGGGCTGTGATGGGACAGCAGGGAAGAATGGGGACCTCGCAGATGTGAGATGCCTGGCAGTGACCCCGCGGGGGCAGTCAGCCCTTCACTGCTGGCATTGCAGCCCATCACCCCGTGCCTCTCCCAGCCTCACATCTCGTGGCCCCAACAGCTGTGAGCTGCAGACAGGAGATGAGAAAGCGAGTTCCTGCCAAAACCACACAGCGCTGCGAGGGCCTCATGCGGCACTGGGGCACTGCTGTGCTCAGTGGGGGTGGGGACAAGGCCAGGGCTTTGGCTCAGCCTCATTTCTTTGTGGCCCCATTCAGTTTCTTCTCTGCAGGTGACATCGGGAGCAGACAGCAGTCCCTGATGCGCTGACGGCCGATCATGTCCAGGGTGAGCGGGGCTCACTGTCCTCTCCTGCACTGCACCAGGACAGGGATGTGACACTGGGGCATCCCATCCCACCAGGATGTTGTCCCCGTCCCATGTCACCACTCAGTCCTTCCAGCTGGGGCTGACCTCAGGGCTGAGCATCCCGGTGACGCTGCCTTCTTCCTGCAGAAACATTGGCCTGCGGGGACACAGTGCGTCACCAAGCATGACCACACCAAGCCCAAGGCCGGCGAGCTGGCCTTCCATAAGGGAGATGTGGTCACCATCATCGAGGCCGTAGAGGTGACCCCTGGGGCTGCGGGGTTGGCAGTGCCACCGGGGCCAGGACCCCCTTCCTGGTGGGGAGTCCCCTTTCTGAGACCATCCCATCTGCAGGGCAGGAATTGGTACCGTGCGCGGCACAACGAGAGCGGGCAGGAGGGGCTGCTGGCAGCCGGAGCGCTGCGGGAGCGCGGGGCCATCCGTGCTGACCACAAGCTCAGCCTCATGCCGTGAGTACTGCGGGGTCCCAGCAGCTGCAGGGGTGTCCCACACATTTCCCCCCCTCCCCCAAGTCTGGAGGTGTTGCTGAGGGCAGAGCAGCCAAGAGCCTGGGTCACCGAGGGATTTGTTGGATTCAAAAACCCCCCTTGTGCCCAAACATCTGGGACAGCCCCAGTGGGGAAGGGGCTGCTGTGGGGTCTGCATGGCCTCTGTGTGGTCTCTGCTCCTACTGCCTTGCTGCTGGTGCTGGGAGAGATCCCAGCCCCACATCCCCTCACCCCTATCCCCACATTCCCTCACCCCATGGCCCCCATCTCCCCATATTCTCACCCCTCACCCCTATCCCCGTACCCCACATTCCTCCATCCTTCACCCCATACACCCCCCATTCCCATACCCCTCTTCCCAGCTGGTTCCATGGGAAGATCTCGGGGGTGGAGGCAGTGCAGGAGCTGCAGCCCCCCGAGGACGGGCTGTTCCTGGTGCGTGAGTCGGTCCGGCACCCTGGTGACTACGTGCTGTGCGTGAGCTTTGGCAAGGAGGTGATCCACTACCGAGTGCTGCACCAGGACAACACGCTGAGCATCGACAGCGAGCAGTATTTCTGCAACCTCATCGACATGATTGAGGTGAGAGCCCCCCTTTGTGCAGGACTTTGGGGTCACTCCGGTTTGGAACACAGTGATGGAGAACCTGCGGGGTGCTGCTGACCCCGTGTGCCAGCAGTGTGCGGAGTGACATCATGGCCACCTCATCCTGTGGCCCCTGAGGGCTTCACCACAGCTGTGGGTGGGTTTTGTTACCTGCTGCCATTCTCCATCCCACGATGTTCTCTAGACCCTGCTTGGTTTGGGGAGCAGTGGATGCGCCCACTGTGCCCTGCCTGCTGCCAAATATAACACTGGCTCTCCTGCTTCCAGAAAGCTCTTCCTCTAGCTCTTCCTCTACCCTGACCCACAACCACTCCATGTCTCTGCTGTGGGAGTTCATGCTTCCTGATTGTTTCCATGTTTAGACAAAACTTCTGCTTTCAGATGGGCCTTTTCCCCTTTCATCTTCCACTGCTGCAGCTCTACTGCTGCCTCTGCTGCAGATCTGCAAACCACCCCTTCCCTGTCCCCCACCCTGGGGACAGGCTGCTCCATTGCAGTGTGCCATGACTGTGCCCCACAGGGAGATATTGCTTTGGGATTTCCCACTGTGTAGGATGGGCTCTGTGCACCTGGAGGGGTAGCTTTGGTGTTGGGGTCCCACGGAGCACCTTATGGCCGTTCCCCCACTCCTCACCCCCTGCCCCATCCTGCAGCACTACACGGAGCAGCAAGGAGCCCTCTGCACCAAGCTGGTGAAGCCCAAAGCCAAGAGTGGGATGAAGTCAGCCGAGGAGGAGTTGGCCAAAGGTGGGAAGGGGTGAGGCCAGCTCTGGGGGAGGAGGTGGCTCTGGTGCCTTCTGACCCATCCCTGTGCCATGCAGCTGGCTGGCTGCTCAACCTGCAGCACCTCACGCTGGGAGAACGCATCGGGCAAGGCGAGTTTGGAGGTGAGATGGGACCAGAGGTCTTCAGCCAGAAGTCCCTAGAGGACATCGCCAGATGACTTTCCTGGATGCCATCCCTGCTGTCCTAGGGCTCTGCGGGGTGTCCCCATGCCTAATGCCTTGCATCCCCCACCAGATGTCCTGCAGGGTGAGTACATGGGGCAGAAGGTGGCTGTGAAGAACGTCAAGTGTGATGTGACCGCCCAGGCCTTCCTCGCTGAGACCGCCGCTATGACGTGAGTGGGGGGCACAGGGGTACAGACAGACCCCATCCCATGGTGTTGGCGGTACCCCCTGACCGTGGTCCCTCACTTCAGGAAGGTCCGACACAAGAACCTGGTGCGTCTGCTCGGTGTCATCCTGCACAACGGCCTCTACATCGTCATGGAGTTCATGAGCAAGGTGAGGGTGGCCGGGGCTCAGACGATGGGGCCGATTGAGGCTCCATTTTCAGATAAAACCCACAATTTGGGGCTGAGTTGGATTCTGGGAGCCGCATCCCAATGGTCCTTACACGGCTCTCATCCCTCAGGGCAACCTGGTCAACTTCCTGCGCACGCGGGGCCGCGCGCTCGTCCCACTGCCACAACTCCTGCAGTTCTCTCTGTGAGTCCTCCCCCCATCGCCCTCATCGCTGGGGACCTCCCAGAGACACGGTGACACTGGGACGGGGGATAGGTGACACCTGGACAGGGGGATGGGTGACACCAGGGCAGGGGGACACACAGTGACGCTGCCCCACCACCACAGGGACGTGGCCCAGGGCATGGACTACCTGGAGTCCAAGAAGCTGGTGCACAGGGACCTGGCCGCCCGCAACATCCTCATCTCTGAGGACAGCGTGGCCAAAGTGAGTGATTTTGGCCTGGCCAGGGTCAACCCCCGTGGTGCAGACACCACGCTGCTGCCCGTGAAGTGGACGGCTCCCGAGGCCCTGAAGCACAATGTGAGTGATGGAGCAAAGGATCCCCAGGGCAGCTCTCCCAACCCATCCCACCAACCCACCCCATCCCACCAACCCATCTCTGCTCCGTGCTGACTCCCCATCTCCCCATCTCTGGGCTTTGTCCTGATCCTCATCCCGAGGGTGAGGGCATCTCCTGCAGGATGTGGGGGGATGGGATGGGTGTGGGGTCCCTCTGCCATGGGGAGGTGAGGGTGGAGCAGGGAGCGATGGTTCCCCAGCTGGCTGCAGCTCCTGCCCCATGCCATGGCAGAAATTCTCCTCCAAATCGGACGTGTGGAGCTATGGAATCCTGCTATGGGAGGTGTTCTCCTTTGGCCGAGCGCCCTACCCCAAGCTGGTGAGTGCAGGGGTTCACATCCTGATGAGATGCAGGGAATGGGGATGTCCCTGCTGCCCCTGGTAGGGGGATCCCAGCTCCCTGCTCCACCCACAGAGCCTGAAGGAGGTGACGGAGCAGCTGGAGCAGGGGTACCGCATGGAGCCCCCTGAGGGCTGCCCGCCCACCGTGTATGCACTGATGAGGAGCTGCTGGGAGATGGAGCCAGGCAAGCGGCCGTCCTTCAAGAAGCTCACAGAGAAGCTGCAGAAAGAGCTGAAGCACCTGAAGGATGTTTAACCTACGTTCCACACTCAAGGAGCCCCCAGGACCTACAGGAGTAGCCCCCAAGTTGGGGAGCAGTGTGAAAACGGGCAGCCTGGAGGCTGCTCCCTCCTGGTGAAGATGGGGCAGTGACTCTACAGGATGCCCTCCTCCCCTGCATGCACCCAGAGGATGCAATGTCCTCCCTCCATCTCCCAAGAGGATGCAGCGGACAGACAAATCCCTCTGTCCCCGTGGGGCCCTTTGCCCAGCCACGCCTGGGGACACCGGGAGCATGAGGTCCCTCTTAATTTCCTCTCCTTTCCCAGTGATGGGGACAACACAGGATGTCCCATCCTTATGGAAGACAACACCCCATGGCTGGCACAGCCCGATGCTGGCCCTGCATGGACACACCAACCACATTCAGCTCAGCCACATGGGTTTGGGCCTCTTTATTAAACCACAGAAATTAGTTGGACAGTGTCTTTAAGTCTCCAGACTCACGTTAGGGCTATCCCTTGTTTGGGGTGAGCACAGTGGCGGGGCAGGAGCCCCAGCCCCCTCAACCCCCCATGCACAGCCCAGCCCCACTCTGCTCAGGGCTGTGCGCAGAGCCAGGGATTATTCTTTTAATCAGAGCCTGTATGGAAATTGCTCGCATATAGATTATGGGAGCAGGGCAGGGGCAGCCCCAGGCACCGGCTCACAAGCAATCTCAATATCTCAGCGGAGCAGGGATTAACAGGAGTGTGGGGTGTGAGCGTGTGCACCCGCCCCATTCCTTGTCTCCCTTCCGGTCCTTTGACCCTGGGTTGATTTTTTTGGCTCATCCTCTCACATCTTCCCCATGCCCACTTTCTGCCCCACCACAGAAAGTGGCTTTGGGTGCCCACTGTGCTCCTCCATCAAGGCCCACGCAATGGGTTATTTCCACCGGCTCCAGGTCCACAGCACCCTTGGGTCTTCCCACCCCAGTGGTGGTGCCTTCCCTTCCTAATGCCATAATCCAGCCCTTATCCCAGGTCCCGCTGACCTTGCAGGCGCTGGACCCAGTGCTGGGCACGGCGGGGCGCGGGCACAATATCCACCCACCCATGGCTGCCTTCTTCACGGCCGCCCTGAGGAACCTGCGGGGGGGTGAGGAGGAGCCCAAGGCACCCCCCAAGGACGGCAAGGCGGCTGCCCTGCCCCACGGCATGTCCCGCGAGGAGTTCGAGGAGTACCAGCGGCAGCTGCTGGAGGAGAAGTAAGGCTTGGTTGGGGCTGCAGGGTCCCCATGCAGCAGGACTGGGGTGTCACTTGCCCCTTGCATGGGTGGGACAGGGACAGGGAGGCAGCGGGTGGGAGCAGAGTAGGTCCATAAAGTGCAGGAGGTCTCCATGGTGTGGAATGTCCCCATGGTGCAGGAGGTCCCATGGTGAGGGAGGTCTCTATGGTGCAGGATGTCCTCATGGTATGAAATGTCCCAACAGTGAGATGTCCCAGTGGTGCATGAGGTCCCCATGGTGTGGGATGTCCCCATGGTGCAAGATATCCTTATAGTCCAGGAGGTCCCCATGACGTGAAATGTCCCCATGGCACAGGAGGTCCCCATGGGTGCTGGTGCAGGGACTCAGCATTCTGCAGATGACAAGGGAGAGGGAGGTGCCCAGTGCCACCCTCACCCCAGGGCCCACATATGTGAGGGAAGATGAGGACAGGACTGGGCTGCACTCAGGTGCCACCACCACAGATCTGGGTGATTTGGGGATGGTGTCAGGGAGGTGAAAGGCTGTGGGAGGAGTGAGTCCTCCCACTACAGCTGTCACCACTGGGTAGGGGGCAGGGCACAGACCCTGCTCTGGGGCCCCCAGTTGCAGCCTCACATGGACCACTGCACATTTGGATCTTTGGATGAGTGCAGCCACGCCAGGCTGGGGGGCAATGTGGGGACTCAGCTGGGGCAGAGGTGACAACACGTCACCCATCACACAGGATCGAGCGGGACAAAACCTTTGCACACAAGAAGGCAGAACGGGCAACTGTGCGCATGCACCTGCGGGACAAGTATCACCTGGCCCAGGTACGGACACACAGAGGTACCCCGAGCCCCCAGTACCCCCGAGCTGGGTGGCAGCCATCCTCCCCTTCCCCAGTCCCATAGGATGGGAAGCGATTCCTGAAGAGGGCAGCAAACGGCTGCTGTCTCTGTCCATCCTGTCCACCCACGCACACGTCTGTCCAGCAGCCCGAGTGTGGGGCTGGGCAGCTGCTGGGCCCCCAGACTGCCCCATTGCGGGTGTCCCAAAGGAGCCCGCTTCTCCCGCTCCCTCTCCAGGCTGCTGGGGGTCCATTGCAGCCCCAGTGCCACCTCCCACCCACACAGGATGAGCGGGACGATGCCCAGCTGCACGTGGCAGGCGGCGCGGTGGAGCTGCCGCCGGAGCTGGCTGCCATGGTGCGTGGTGAGGAGGAGGAGGAGGAGGAAGAGGAGGGCACCTTCGCCTTCCTGACCAGGCTGCAGGACGTGGATCTGGCGGCGCTGCGGGGCCGTGCGCTGGGCACTGTGGATGAAGTGAAGGAGAAGTGCTCCCTGATGTAGTGCTGGGCAGCATCAGCAGGAGCAGGTGGGTTGTGGGTGTTGTGAGTGCAATATGCCAGGCTGGGAGGTCCTATGCCTGTGCTAGAGGTCAGTTGTCCTCGCCTAAACCATTCCCTGGGGTTTCTGGGGGCTCTGGGCAGAGACACTGGGGTCCTTTCCACCTGATCCCATCCCACGGCGTCCCCTGGTGCCACCCCAAATCCAGCCAGGCAGCAGTGCCAGCACTGCCACCCCCACCCCTGGAATCTCCTGAGTTCTTCGGATCAATAAAAGTGTCATTTCGTGGGATCAGTCTCGTGTTCGTGCTGCTGCACGATGCCGCCATACCACACAGCACTGCCTGCACCATCCCCATCCCACGCAGTGCCAACACCCCAGAGCTGGCTCGCACTGTAGGCTTTCCCCACCCCACACACAGCCCCACGCCCACAGTCTCACCACCCCAACCCATGCCTGCACCCCCACAGGCTCCACAGGGGGGGAGTGTCCCCACCTGGGGGTCCCCTCTGTCCCCCCTCCCCCCGCTGCAGGCTCAGCAGCACCGTGGGCTTAAACGCCGCCGCGCGGGCGACCGCCGGAAGGCTGCAGGCTGCTGAGATCACTAATACCTGCCTATTTTAGGGAGGTCTAATCTGCCTGAATCGCCTGTCCCCAGGGACTAAGCTCACTGAACCCGTGTAAAATGCACCACCAGGGCTGGCCCCGAACGCCACCGCCCGACAGAGCCGGGCTGGACTCACGCTGTGCTCACATGAAGGGATGGCCATGCTCAGCCGCCCCCGGGCTCCCCACACCGGGGCCATCTGCTCCAGAAAGGCCTGCGGGGCTGTGGGTTCTGTGGGGTCTGTAGGGCCTGCGAGGCCTGCGGGGCCTGTGGGGTCTGTGGGGCCTGCGGGGTTTGTGGGGCCTGTGGGGCCTGTGTGGTCTGTGGGGCCTGTGGGGTCTGGGGGATCTGTGGGGCCTGTGGGGCCTACAGGGCCTGTGGGGTCTGTGAGGCCTGTGGGGCCTATGGGGTCTGTGGGGCCTGTGGGGCCTGTGGGGTCTGTGGGGCCTGCAGCACCTTTGGGGCCTACAGGGCTTGTGGGGCCTACGGTGCCTGTAGGTTGTCTGGGACCTGTGGGGCCTGCAGGGCCTGTGGGACCTATGGCTTCTGTGAGTTCTGTGAGGCCTGCAGGGCATTTGGGACCTGTGGGTTCTGTGGATCCTGTGGGGCCTGTGGGTTCTCTGGGGCTTATGGGGCCTGAAGGTTCTGTGGGGCTTGTGGGTTTTGTGGGGTCTGCGGGGCCTGCAGGGCATGTGAGTTTTGTGAGGCCTGTGGGTTCTGTGGGGCTTTTAGGGCCTGTGGGTTCTGTAGGGCTGTGGGATGTGTGGGGCCTGAGGAGTGTATGGGGCTGTGGGGTGTGTGCCTATGGCAGTGGGGCAGAACCCAGCACTGCTGGGCTGGGAGTCACAGTGCAGCTCTCAGCTGCCCCAGCAGCAGCAAACAGGGTGGTGGGGTGGGGGTCCCTGACCCCCACGTGCTGCTGTGGCAGTGCCTGCTGGAGCCCCCCAGCCTGGTGCTGTGGCCCCACCATCACCCCGCTGTCCCCGCCGTGCAGCCCTCCTTCTTCCCGTTTGGACACAAAATCAACCTGAGCTGAACAGGACACGGCTGCACGCCCCCTGGCCCCTTTCTGGGGCAGCCCAGTCCCACCCCACACCCCTGCCATCCCCCATGGCCGGGTGCTGGGATGGAGGCACTCAGGTCCCCATCTCCCCATGCTCCCCATGGGGCACTCGGCACCAGCTGGGATCCGGGTCAGGACCCTCTACCAGGTCTCCCCAGCTAATCGCCCTGCCCCCCCGCCGCCCCCACATTGCCACCTGTGCCTCCTCACCCTTTTGGGGTCACCCCTGCCACCCGCCCGCCCGCCCCAGGCCTCTTAATGAACTAAAAAAGTGACAAATCCCCGGCAGAGCTGGTCACGTGCGGCCAGCGGCCCCCGGCCCCGACCCCCGCCCCGGCCCCACCGCCCCGGTAAGCTGACGCAGCGTCTCTAAGCGTTAGCAGCTTTGCCCGCTAATAGGATTAGGGAGGTTTAAAACTGTCATTTGAGTGAACTAAACCCCCTGATACTCTGCATTGCACCTTCTTAACCAATTTGCCTTCAATTAGGGTAATTGGGAAACTAGCAAAGAAGTATAGCATTAATATTTTAAAGTGATGAAGCGATTACGGGCCTTGGACGAGGAAGCAAATCAATTTGCTATCTGCTCCTAAAAGGCAATTATAATCATTTGTCAAATCAGCCTGCTGGCCTCCCCCGCCCGTGTGAGCCAACACCTTAAGGCGGTTTAGCGGGGCCGGCTCCGCACACACGGCCCTGGTGGGTAAATCCAAATCCGGGCAGCTGGGGCGGCTGCGCCCGCGCCGAAAACCAACCCACGGGTGGTCCTGGTGGGGACATGGCAGTTTTGGGGGGATCTGTGTGCTCTGGACCACTTTGGAGCTCTTGGTGTCTGCAAGAGGCTCCGGGGGTGGGGTGGGGTCTTCCTGGGGCAGCTCTGCACGCTGTGTCCCCGTGGTGCTGTTGGGAAATCAGCGGAGCAGGGGATCGGGGTCTTCTTGCTGCCATCGTGGCGGCGCTGGCACAAGGTGCTCATTGGGATCCATTTAATTGGGATCCATCTCATTGGGATCCAGGATCCCAGCCTGGGAATGTCCCCACCACCCTACGGCAGCGCAGGGGGTGAGGGGTCACAGTGCAGTACCACCAGCAGTGACACATAGTGGCTCTGGGGTCTGTGCCCAGTGTTCATGGCAGTGGCACTTCCATGGGATGGTACAGCGCCTGGGGGTGATCAAAAGCCCCGCGGTGACGTTCAGCATCTGAAAGGGGAACCGTGCTATGGAGAGGATGGGGGTGGGAGGAAGCCAAAACAGTGGCTAAGGGCTGTGGCATTGGCAGGTGACAGGAAGAGGGTTTTCGGGGAAAGTAAAAGGAAATGGAGGCAAAAAGGGGAATCCTGGCAGCAGGTGGGTGGCACGGGCACCCAGAAAGGAGGAGACCCCATCACAATGCTCCTGGCCCCCAACGGGGCAACGTTTCTGTCCCACAGCCCTACAGGCATAGGGCTGCCTGCATTGTGGATCCACATCCCACAACCCATGGCCAGACCCCATGGACAGTCCCGCAGAGTGTCCTCACGCTCTGTCCCATGCCCAACACTTGTCCCTGCTCTTAGTCCCCACACCTGCTCCTCACTGTCTGTACCCCATGGCTGATGTGACACACACAGATGGTCCCAGAGCTGGTTCCCAAAGCTGGTACCCGTGGTTGGTCCTGAGCTGATCCCCGTGCCTGTTGTGACATCCACAGCTGATCCCACAGATGGTCCCCAAGCTGGTCCCAACACTCAAGGCTGCTCTCTATGCCCATTCCCCACATATGGTGTGACACCTATGGCCAGTCCCTACTGCTGTGTGACATCCACAGGTGGTCACATTGCTGCACCCCATGCCCACTCCCCACACATGGTGTGATGTCTACAGCTGATCCCATTGCTTGTTCCCATTCCTGGTGTGACAGCCATGCTTGATGTGACATCCCTAGCTGGTCCTATAGCTGGCCCCATGCTCATTTTCCATTCTTGGTGTCACTTCCAAAGATGGTCCCATCACTGGTCCCCATGCCTGACGTGGCATCCACAGCTGATCCCATAGATGGTCCGCAGGCTGGTTCCAATGCCTGGTGTGACATACACAGCTGACTCCATTGCTGGTTCCCATGCTTGATGTGACATCCAAAGACTGTCCCATTGTTCAGCCCCGTACCCACTCCCCATGCTTGGTGTGACATCCACAACTGGGCCCATCATTGGTCCCCATGCCTACTCCCCACGCCCCATGTGACATCCACAGCTGATCCCATAGCTGGTCCCCATGCCCACTCCTCATGCCTGGTTTGACTTCCACAGCTGATCCCATCACTTTTCCCCATGCTCACTCCCCATTCCTGGTGTGACTTTTACAGCTGGTCCCCATGCCCAATGTGACATCCACAGATGATCCCATCGATGGTCCCGCTGCCTGCTATGACACCCATGGACGTCACACCCATCCCCACACATCCCAAAGGACCCCACACGCTGCCATGGGGCCACCCCATCACCTCCACTGGGGGACGCAGCCCCACGGCATCCCCAGCACAGCCCCATTCCCGGCGGCGCGGCGCTGGCAAAGCCGAAGGAAATTGTTTCTCTCCCTCCTCCCCCCCTACCCCCCCTGCCTTTCTTCTCCTCGCCCCGTGTTTCTAATTCTTTTTCCTCTCCCATAATGAGGGGATTACAAGGAAAACTCCAGCAGGACGCCTTTGTGGGGAGACAATCCGAGCGGGGAAGGCAGCGCGGGGCTTTGTGCGCCCGCAGCCCCCCCGGCCCGCCCGGCGCTGGGGGGACATTTAGAGCAATTACTTGTCCAGAAAGTAACTGTCAATCATTCTTAAAGGGGAAGGCCTCCAATTAATAACCTCGTCTTAATCCTTTGGACTCATTTCCAATCTGCGGGGCCTTGGTGACATCTGCAACACTAAATAAAGATTCTCCCGAGCCTTAGCGCGGCGGTTCTGTGACAAATAAGAAGACTAGAGGCAACTTTGGCTGCCAAGCTGCAAGATTGGTGAGGTTGAGCCGCTTGTTTGGTTCCCAGGAGGGACTGGCAAAGTTAAATACTCCTGGAAAAGCCGCGTCGGGCCCAGCAGGTAACGCCGTTTTACGGGAATGTGGGAGAAAGTGCCACGGGAGGAGGCTCAGAGCAGAGCTGGGGTGGGCACAGTGCTGTGCTGTGCTGTGAGGACGTGGGGGAGGACGGTGGGTGTCCCCAAACCGCCCCACTGTGCATCCCGGGTGCCCTCCGATCCCCAAAGGGAGCGACAGCCGCTGTCCCAAAAGCTCCCGGAGGACACGGAGCGCAGAGCCCACCTGCAGCATGCGGGGTGTGGGACACCGATGGCCTCAGCAGTCGGAGGGGCTGCCTGCTGTGCCCACTGGGGCGGTAGGGCTGCAGGGGGACGTGGTGCTGTGGGGTTGTGATGGCATGGGGACGCGATGTGACGGCGCTGGGGACGAGGCGGGCGACAGCACGGCACCGCGCACCCATCCCGCAGGGTGGTTTCTTTCTTCTTCCTGTTTTCTTGGGGCCTCTTTTCCTTCTGGATGGGTTTGGGGCTGTGGGGGCCATCCTGTACACAGCCCTGACCCTCACCCCACTGCCCCGACCTTCCCTGTCCCTGCTTGTCCCCATCCCCCTCACCCTGTGGGGTCCTGCACCACTCACTCCTCTCCCCTCTCCTTGCAGGTGTGGAGCTGCGCAAATGAGAAGAGGGTAAGTGAGAGTGGGATGGCAGAGGGGGTCCCCAACCCTCCCCAACCCAACCCCAACCCCAGCACGGTGACAACAGGGCACTGCACCCCGAGGCTGCAGCACCCACACCCCACTGGAGCCCATGGGGCTGGGAGGTGTCACCCAGAGCTGCATGCTCTGCACACACTGCATGAGGACCCACGCATGGGCGTGCACTCTGTTTGCAGCACACTAATGAAGTGAGTGCACTTACTGCATTCATTAGCGTGCTGCAAACAGATTGCACACCTGTGGGATGCAGGTGCCCTGGCAGTGCACACGCAGCAGATACTGGGTGCACTGCACGGTGCACACTGCAGGCACTGTGTGCACTGAGCACAGAAACACTGCAGACACTGCTGTGCCTGCAGGTTGTGCATGAACTGCATTGCACTCCTTGATCCATGCACACTGCACATGCACTGCACACACTGCACCCTACGCACTGCATGTGCTGCATTCAGACATTGCATGGTGCACGCTGCACCCTTGGTGTGGACACTGCACACCAGGCTCTGCACACACAGTGCTCATTCCACACGCTCTGGCCGTGCCATGGGGGTTGGAGTGGGGTCCTGCACCAATGTGGGGCAGTTTGAAGGGACGGAGTGTGGGAGTGGGGAGGGGGGATGGACCTGGCCAGCTCTGGTCAGCTCTGAGTGGTTTTTGGAGCTGCTGGCCCTATAGAGTCCCCACAGAAGTGCCACAGGGATGGCCCATCTCCTGTCCATCTGCTCATCCAGATGGAATTCATGCTGTCCCCACACCCCTCCTAACCCCACCATCCCCTCGCAGGTGCCGAGATGTTCCTCAATAAGTGTGAGGGGGACCTGGGCGAGCTGCGGAAGCCGGGGGACGGTGAGGGAACCCCTCCAGCTGCTGCCGAGGAGGAGCAGCCCAAGAAGAAGCACCGGCGGAACCGCACCACCTTCACCACCTACCAGCTGCACGAGCTGGAGCGAGCCTTTGAGAAGTCCCACTACCCTGACGTGTACAGCCGAGAGGAGCTGGCCATGAAGGTCAACCTGCCCGAAGTCCGCGTGCAGGTAGGGATGGCTCTACGCCTTCATTTCCCCATTGCCCAATTCACAAACTCAGCGTAGGTGCTGCATCTTGCCCTGGTTCCATAGGAAGGGTGACAACCCACAGCAGCTCCTCACCACTGTCAGCTCCTCAGGGCCAGGAAAGCCCTGAGATTCTCATGGATTCAGGATTTTAGGTTTCCTGGAGCCAGGGCATGGGGCGGTTTGGCACAAAGCCCTGGTCTGCGTGGAGGGTCAGCCTGGAGCAGACCCTGCTGCCAGCACAGGCAGTGACAGCCCTTCCAGTCACCGGGTCTGAAAGCACAACAAAAGGAGAGAAAGCCAAATAGAGCAGGACTGACAAAAGAACAGGGATCACTGGAGCCGTGGGGGACACAGCGCATGGGGCACCATACCCAGGACACCCCAAGGGGACACAGAACAGGGGACACGCCGCCTGGAGCACCCCGTGTGGGGCACCCTGCATGGGGCACCCCGCGTGGGATACGGCACAACGGGGCGCCCTGCATGGGGCACCCTGCACGGGGCACAGCGTGTGGGGCATCCTGCTTAGAATGCAGCACGGGGGGGACGTGCCACATGGGGCACTCTGCGTGGGGCATGTCACATAGAACGCTCTTCATGGGACACAGCAGATGGAGCATCTTACACAGGACATGGCACACAGGTGACCCTATGTGGGTCGCTGAATCTCAGAATTGTTAAGGTTGGACAGACCACTAAGATCACCCAGCGCAGCCAGCACCCCATACTCACTGTCACTGAGTCACCACCACATATGGGGCACAACAGATGGAGCGCCCTATATGGGACACACCACATGGGACACCTTACATAGGACATGCTACCCTACATGAGACATGGCACAGGGGTCACCCTACAAAGGACACAACACATGGGACACTCTACAAGGGGCACCCTACATGGGACAAAGCACATGGGGCATCTTGCATAGGGCATGGCACAAAGGTCACCCAACGGGGGATAGAACACATGGGACACCCTACAGTGGCACTCTACGTGGGACAAAACACGTGGGGCACCTTGCGTAGGACATGTTGCATAGGACATGGCACAGGGACCACCCAACAGGAGACACAACACACGGGGCACCCCTGAGGAGCATGCTGTGAGGGACCATCCAGCCATGGGGCACACACCCCCAGGTCACTCTCACTGTACCCCAACAGGTCTGGTTCCAGAACCGCCGAGCCAAGTGGAGGCGGCAGGAGAAGATGGAGGCCAGCTCCATGAAGCTCCACGACACCCCCATGCTGTCCTTCAACCGGCCGCCCATGACGGCCAACGTGGGGCCCATGAGCAACTCCCTCCCGCTCGACCCGTGGCTGACATCGCCCATCTCCAGTGCCACCCCGGTGCACAGCATCCCCGGCTTCATGGGAGCCCCCCAGGCCCTGCAGCCCCCCTACGGAGGGCACTCCTTCCTCAACACCCCCCCGGGCATGGCTCAGGGCATGCAGCCCATGGCCCCCGCGCCCTACCAGTGCGGCACCCCCTTTGTGGACAAGTACCCGCTGGAGGACGTCGACCAGAGGAGCTCCAGCATCGCCTCGCTCCGCATGAAAGCCAAGGAGCACATTCAGACCATCGACAAGACCTGGCAGCCCATTTGATGAACACTCCCCACTGCTCCCTACCCCGACGGGGTGCTCGGCAGGACCAGAGCAGGGAGGTGGGAGGTGACCCCCCCCGGACGCAGCATCACGGACAGCAGCATGGGGGGCACCCAGCAGCCGCCCCGGTGCGGCCGCGCAGGACCTGGGGGAGTCCCTGCACCCCTTTATTATTATTACCATCATCAAGAATTTCTTTTTTTTTTTTTCTTTTTTTATGCACAAACAGAAACGCTCTAGTTTCGTAGGGAACAACCAGGGGGTGTTGTTTTTTCAGCTGCGTTGGGTGCGGTGTGGGAGATGGGCGTGTGGTTGGTAAGGAGAAGAGTGGGACGCGGTGTTCCGCTCGGCGATGGGGAAATCCACTTTAACATCACCCACACTCTGCATCTGCAGGGAAACGTTGCTGTCCCCGCACATGGGTGACCGAATCCCAGCCCGCGTCCCGCCTGCTTGTCAGGGGGAATCTGCTCCGCCGTCACTCCGGCCCTAATTGCTCTCCAGCGGTGCCAGTGGCACAAAGCTGCCGTAATTGCTGGGCAGAAGGGGGAGGGCTCAGTCCCAATGGGGCCAGCGGGGTCCTGATAGGAGCGGGGACGGAAGGGCGGCGGTGGTGAGATGCCCCACGATGGCGCTGGGGATGGCGTGTGGTCGGCACTGTTGGGGCAGCAAGGGGACGATGGCACACGTGGGGGCTTCAGGGTTCCAAAGACGGAACGTGTTGGGGCAGATGGGGTTGGTCGGGGCCAAACATGGGGCAGAGCTGCACCCGTGGCCACGGTGGCATTGGGGTCTCCCGCTGACACCATCCGGGCCGCGCGCTGACCCCGTGGGGACCCGGCTCCTCGTCCCCGTCCCCCGGCTGCTGCTGCTCATCTGCTTCGTTAGCGATAATTAAACCTTTAACAACCCATTAAACGCATAATCGATGCTCCCCCGGCCCCCCAGCCCAGCTAATGGGCCACGGGCAGAGGCGTGCTCGGCGCTGGAGATAATGAAGCAACGGCTGTGGAAGTAATGGGGTTTGATCCGGGGGACGGGACGCGCTGAATGGGGGCTGCGCCTTTCGCATGACATAATGGCAGAGGTTGGCGCCGACCCCGCCGCGACGCCCGGGCACCCCTCGGCCAACAAAGGGCGGGCGGCGGGGAGGGGGCTGCCCCATAGCCCACCCTAATTGGGTCGAGGGGCCCCCACCGCCGCCCCATGGCGTTGGCACACAGCAGCGAGTGCCCCCCGCTCACGTCATCAGAGCAGAAGGGCATTCTTCCTCCCCCCCACCCCAGATTTCAATCGTTCCCCAAAATCTTTACCCCACAGCCTTGCAGGAGCCCTCTACTCCTCCCATCCCATCCCCCCCAGTGGGATTTGCCCCCTAATCTGCTTATTTCTCTCTATTTCTCCTAGGCCTGAATGAGCCCAATCCCGCCCCGGTGCGACGCCTTGCTGAGCTGCAGCACCCGGCCCTGCCCCCTGCCCACCCCACAGCTGCCGGGGCACATGGGGGGGCCATGGTGTCCATATGGGGTGGCACTGCCCTGTGAGGATACATGAGACTGGCATTGCTCTGTATACAGGGTGGTACCACCCTATATATGGGGTTCATTGACCTGCTAAGGGACATGGAGCTGGCACTGTCCTGAATATGGGATGGCACTTTCCTGTATATGAGGTGGCTGTACTGTGAATGGGGTGACACTGCTTTGTGTATGGGGTGGCCCTGCCCTGTATATGGGGTGACACAGCTTTGTGCATGGGGAGGCACTGCTCTGCGTATGGGGTGGCATGGCCCTGTACATGAGGTAGCACCGCCCTGTATATGGGGTGACGCTGCTCTGCGTATGGGGTGGCACAGCCCTGCATATAGTGGGGTGGCAGTGCCCTATACATAGGGTGACACTGCTCCCTATATGGGGTGGCAGTGCCCTGTACACAGACGTGCCCCCTTACACCCCATGCGATCCGTGCACCTCGGGGCTCAGGTTCTCCTCAGGGCTGTTCCCCCAGCTGCTGGGGGGCGATACGGACAGGGGGCTGCCGGACCCCCCCGAGGCGGGCGGCGTGCCGGGGTCCCGGGGGCTCAGATTGAGTTTGGCAATGAGCGGCCGCCCCACACTCACCGCCCGCAGCTCCTCCACAAAGTCGGCCACGCCGCGGTAACGGAACTGCAGGCACACGGTGAAGGTCAGCTCCTGCTGCAGGGCAAGGCAATGTGGGCACAGGGGGTTTCATGTGACCCCCCACACACAACCGGTGCGGCACAGCTCTTACCCGCAATCTCTGCAGCCCACAAAGGCGGCTGTAGAGGCAGCAGGATGGACAGGCGAGGCTCCAGGTGGGCACCAAGGGGCTGCCCAGCTCCTCGGGGCACTCCCTGTTGGTGTACTTCAGGTCCACGTCCAGCTCCTGCCATGGGGGATATCAAGTTAGGGGATGGCAATGTGGGAACCCCGCACCCCAAGTGCTGCCCTTCCGGGGTGCCACCCCACCTCGGGGAGGTCGGTGAGCTTGGCCACGCACTCAGTGATGTCCCCAGGGGCGGCCAGGATGCGGGTGTAGATGATCATGATGTTGGAGAACTCAGCAGCAAAGCCCAGCTGCACAGTGACACCGCAGTCGAAGTGGAGGTGGCGGCTCTCTGGGAGGACTGCAGGGACAGCGAGCAACGTGGTGCCACCACTTTGGTCCCTGCCAGCACTTGGGGTGACACTTGGGGTGACACCTGAGGCGGCCCCAGCACGAAGCCTTGGGGCCGGTGGCGCATTGGAGACGCCAGGTGCCACCCGTCCCGTGCCTCAGGGCTGTCCCCTCCATGACCCCACCACTGGGGGATGCAGCAGTGGTACACACCGTGAGCCTTGGCCCACTGCAGGTTCCTGGCAGAGGTTTCAGCCCGTCCCAAGGAGCGGATGGGGTCGGTCAGCGCCCGCCTCTCCGACAGGTTACTGCGCAGCTCCAGCGCCTGGCGGCCCCGCGTCAGCTCCAGCGTGCCCATGTCTGCAGGGCCAGGCACAGCGTGGGCTCAGGGGGAGATTTTGGCCCCTCCAAGCCCCACTGCGCAGCACTCACCCTCGGCCACCTTGTCCAGCAGCACTGTGATCTTCTCGTCCTCCAGCAGCCAGCGCTTGAGGAAGGTGACAAAGACACCATTGGAGAGTTCGCCCTGGCTCAGCTCATAGGCTTCGGCATCCGCGCATCTGTGGGGATGGGAAGGGTGGGTTAAGGTGCTGGAAGCCTCACCCGTGCTGCAGGAATCCCACTGGGATGGGACATCCTCGACCCAAATCCCTGCAATCCAGGTGAGCATCGGTGCTCTGAGCCCTGGGTGTTGCCTGGAGGTTGGCGCAGCCACGAGCATCTCCAACCCCATAGAGGACAGCATCCCTGGGAGCCCGGAGCGGTGCCACGGAGTCACAGCATATCCATACATCAGGGAAAAATGCAGTGCTAATAGGGCTGAGATATCAGAACTCGACCCCATTCCTGCCCCGGCCCAGGGGGTTGTGTCCTGCTGGCCCCACAGCAAGGAGGGTGCATGAGAGGGGACCCACGTGGCGTAGCCGAAGACGATGTTGGCCGTCACTTCCAGCGCCCCGACCTGCGGGAGGATGTCATCATTGAGGTTCCTGTGAGAAAAGAGCTGCTGAGAGCTGTGGTGGTGACACCCAAAAAAGCCACAGGCGGGACACGTGGGGACCCCTCACTCCATGCCCTCATAGGAGGGACGTGGGATCACCTCTTGCGGCACATGTCGAGCAGGAAGATGTTGAGGCCGGTGCGGCGCTGCTGCATGCGCTGCAGCACGTGCTGCACACACAGGCAGTGGGCGGAGGTGTAGGAGCCGGGCGCATCGATGGGCACCATGAAGCTGGTGCCGAAGTTCTCGTAGCCGTGTCCAGCATAATACAGCAATCCTGGTGGGAGAGGGGATGGTGGCACATCCCACCCCTCCTCGTGTGTCCCCAAACCCCATGGCTCTGCCCTGCTGCCCCAAAGCCCACCCGTGGGAGCCCCACAACCACCCAGGAGCTGCCCCCACCATAGACCCCTTTGTCGAGGAGCAGCAGGAACTCATTGACTGCCATCTGCATCTCATCCCGGCGCAGGTCCAGCAGTGACACCACCTTGAAGTCGAGCTGCCGCAGCAGCGCGCTCAGTGCGTGCACATCCACCATGGGCGCCCGCAGGTCTTTGTGGTGCATGTAGTGCATGTTGCCCACCAGCAGTGCCACTTTGTCGGTGGCTGCAGGGACAGAGAGGGACACAGAGGGGCTCTCACGCTGTCCCCAGCACCCCACATTGTGCTGCAGCCCCCGCAGGGTCCCCTGCCCCTCCTGGATGGGATCTCACCATACAGCTGGTCGGGGCTGCCAGGCTCTGGGGAGTCTGCAAAGAGAGAGATTGTGGCAACGGCCCCGAGCACAGCGATGGGACAGTGCCACCACCTGCACCTACCTCCATCCCCTTCCTGCCAGGGGGCTCCGGAGGCAAAAAGCCGCGGGCCTGGACAGCACAAAGTGGGGTCAGGAGGGAGGGGTTATGAGGCTGCAGGGCTTCGCAGCACCCAGGGTGCTGTAGGGAAGGAGCAGGGAATGCAGAGGTCACCCTCACCGATCTCTACATCCACCTCCTGGCTCCACAGCTCGTGGAAGAGGTTGAACACACGACAGGAGTACGTGCCCCGCTCAGCTGTCGTCACCAGCTGCACCTGCAGGGGTTTGGAGAGCTGGGGCCACCGTGCTGCCCCATGCTGTGCTGCGCTGCCCCACGCCGTGCTGTGCTGTGCCATGCAGTGCCAGACAAGGGGTCTACAGCACCTGGAGCCGTGGTGCCCGTGCACCTTCCACGGGGCGCCGGTTCCTGTACCACTGGTACTGTGGCGGCGGGTTGCCCAGGGCTCTGCACTCCAGCACCAGAGGGTCCCCCTCAGCCAGGCGGCACGGCTGCGGCTGCTGCAGGATCTGCAGCCCCGCCATGCTGGGGCAGTAACCACTGGCTGTGGGTGGGAAGGGCAGCAGATTGGCACCCGGCCATGGCGGGGGTGCACCCAGCTGGCCTTGGCTCCTCAATGCCCTGCAGGAGCCATTCCCAGCCCCATAGGTGAAGAATGCCCTACAGGAGCCATTCCCAGCCCCAGGAATCAGTGATGCCCTACAGGAGCCATTTCTGGCCCCACGGGTGAGCAGCGCTCCACAAACGCAGACCCCAGAGCCCACCTGATTTGGGGCTGTGACTCCTCTCCACTTGGATGTGAGCCCACCTGGAGAAGGCAAAGGCAGCCCCGCAGCTCACACGGCAGATGTACCACTGGGGCAGTCCTGGTGCTGCGGCCGTGTCGACCATCAGCTCCGGGGCTGTGGCTCCAGGCACCTGCAGCATAAAGGAGCTTGACTCAGGATGCTCACTCCCACCAGTGCAGGTGCCAGGGAAAGGATGTGGGTCTCACCTCCTGCTTTCCACAAAACCACTGGTAGGTGAGCCCTGGTGGGCCGGTGGCCCAGCAGGTCAGGGACACCCGTGTCCCCTCTGCCACCGCCTGTGACTCCGGCTGCACCGTGATGCGGATCACGTCGTGGACTGTAGAGGAGCCCGGGCTGGTTGAGAGCTCTGTCCCACACTGCCCCACTACACCCCAACCTGCCCCATTCCAACCTACCTTGTCCCATTCAGTGCCACCCTATGGCATCCCAGCCTGTGCCACTGCATTCTGTCCCAGCTGGCCCCATCCCATCCTGTGCTGCTCCACTTCAGCCCATCCCATTGCATCCCAGTCCATCACACTTTATCCCACCACACTCTGCCCTGTCCCAGCCCACCGTGTCCACACCTCATCGATGCTCTCCCCGTCCCACTCCAACACTCACTTCCCTTCTAACCTATCCTACTGCACCCATCCCCCATCCCTTCCCATCCCATCCATTCAATCCCATCCTATTCCACCCCATCTCATCTCATCTACCCTACTGCATCCATCCCATCCTTTCCCTTTCAAATCTATCCCACTCACCCTACTGCATCCATCCCATTCTTCTGCATCCCTCCAATTCCAACCTATTCCCAATCTATCCCATCCCACCCACCCAACTGCACCCTTCTCATCCCATTCCACCCCATCCACCATGCTGCGTTCATCCAATCCAAACCCACCCCACCCTCCCTGCTGCACCCATCCCAGCCCATCTCACCTCCCCACTGCCACTCCACCAGCAGGATCAGCCCCTCACCTCCCCGCTTTCCCCCAGCTGACCCCCTCAACCCCCAGGTGACACCAGGCCATCCCTACCAGCACTGCTGAGGAGCTGGCAGGCCTGTGTGTGCCCCATCCTGTGCAGGCAGCCCCGCAGGTACCGGAGGCTGCACTCCCGCTCAGCCAGGAGCTGCAGGAGGCTCTGCGTGGGGCTGCCGAGGGGCTCCAGCACCTTCAGCGAGCACATCTCCAGCTCCTCCTCACTGTGAGGGATAGCGGGGACACAATGGGGCGGATGTGGCCACAAAAGGGTTGTGGGGGGGGAGGGCTGCGGGGCACAGGGTCCATCCCACGGTCCCCCCATCCCTACCTGCACTTGAAGCGTTTCTCTGCCCCAGCCACCTCGGCCAGCTTGCGCCAGCCCCGGCTGGCTGTGTCCAGGAGCTCACAGAGCTGGGCCACCACCTCCTCTCCCAGCGAGCTGATGGGCAAGCTCCAGTCCCCCATCCTGCCCCACAGCTGCTGCCTCGGGCTGCAAGGGGACAGGATGGCAGCAGAAGAGGGCAGCACAAGCAGGAGAGGAGGGGATGAAGTCCAAAAGGTGCAGAGAACTCACCTCCAGGTGCTGAGTGTGCCGGAGCCGCCAGCACCCAGCTCAGCACACACTGAGCCCCACACAGAGGAAATGGGGGTTAGGAACAAAAGCAGCCCCACGCTGCAGCACTTCTGCTTTCCTCTGCCACTTCCTGCCCTGCAGAGCAATGTGGCCCTCAGGGAACCAGCACAGCCCCGCCCTGGGGCAGCAGCAGCTTCCCCCCATCCACCCACACAGTGCAGTAGGGCCACCACTGGGCTCTGCCAGGCTGAGGGCACACGGGGAGGGGATTCTGACCCCCTCCTGCCCACCACCCTCGTGGACATGGTGACCTCAGTCGAGTCGCTCTCACCCCAAAGCCGCTGCCCTCCCACCCATCCCCACCACACAGCACACTGGCAGAAGGACTGGGACCTATTGGGCTGCCACAGGTCCTGCTGCCAGCAATAAACAGAACTCCCATTGTGGAAAAAAACCCTGAGAAATGACAGCCTCAATCCTCCCCCAAAGCTGTGCAGGAGGGGATAAGCACACTGAGCACGCAGAGCAACTGCTTATGCCACAGTTTCTGTGAAAGGCATCAGCCTCAGCTGAGATTTATTGTCAGTCTGTAGTGAGAAGATGGGACTGGCAGTGGGAGCTGCCCCGGAGCCAGCCATGCCAACATCAACACCAACATCTGCTGCCTCATTACAGCCCCTCACAGCTTCCTGCTCTTCTTCAGCTTGTTGCGCTGCCACGAGTTGTACTTCCGCAGGCGCCTCCAGTACTCGAGGGAGTCGGGGTCCATCTCCTCCAGCTTCTTGGGGGGACCCAGGTGGATTTGGAACAGCCTGGGGGCAAACACAGAGCAGGTGAGGCTGTGGAGGAGGAGGCAGAGAGCAGCTCCCAGGATCACAGTTGGAGGGGAGCTCTGAAGGTTGCATCTTCCCCACCCTCGGGACCCCCAACCGGGACGCAGTGCTCTGGCTGAGCCCCACATACCACTCAGGGTACTCAGAGTCAGGCTTCAGGGCGACCTCGGGGCTGTCCTTCAGGTAATTGACCCCCACGGCGTAGTTGGCCAACGTGACGGGGTCTGTGCACACCTCCGGCCCCTTCAGCTGCTCCTTTGGAGTGCTTTTCCCCTTCACCTTCACACCTGGGGGAGGGGACACAGTAATATTAGGGGGTGTGGGGAGCTGGGGGGAAATGGAGGAGACCTTGGGGCATGGGGCTGGGAGGTGGGAACTTTGGGACGGAAATAGGAGGTGGGAATAGGACACTGGAATGGGATGTGGGAAAAGGACCCAACTGGGGCACAGAATGGGGTATGGGAGTAGAACACGGGTACGTGACATGGGAACAGGACACAAGAACAGGACGTGAGAGTGGGGTATGGGGACATGAGAACGGGACGCGGGAATGGGATGTGGGCACAGGACACGGGAAAAGGACCCAGCTACAACACGGGGTCAGGATCCGGGAACAGGACCCAGGAGCGACGCGGGGTCAGGGCTCTGTGACGGGGCCCGGCTGCGGTATGGGAACGGGACACGGGGCAGCGCCCCAGTCGGGACACAGGAACGGGACTGGGATCGGGGCCCGGGCTCCCGGCCCATCCCGGCCTCACCCGGTTTCTTGGCGTAGCCGCGGGCCGGGCCGAGCCGCACAGCGCTCACCGCCCGCAGCAGCAGCCGGGCGGCCATGGCGCGCCGCGGGACACGCCGGGACAACTGCGGAGCGCGCATGCGCGGCGGCCGCTCCCGGAAGTGGCTTCTGGGCGGGCCCGGAAGTGGACGCGGCAGCGCCCGGAAGTGGGGGGTGGTGGCGCCCGGAAGTCGCCCGCTCCGTAAGTCCCGTCCTGACCCGTTCCGTTCCGTTCCGCTCGGGCCCGGCCGGGCCGCGGCGCCTCCAGGCAGTGAGTGGCGGCTGGAGCCCGGAGGGACGAGGGGGATCCCCGGCCCTGGAACCCCGTGTGTTCCTCCGCGGCCCTTCCTCAGGCCCCCCAATCTGCCCTGTGGCCCCTCAGCCCCTCCGTGACCCTCTGCGGCCCGCCCCGCGAGCACGGCGCTGCGCCCCCCTCCGTGCCCCCTCCCTGACCCCTCCCTGCTCCCGCCTTGACCCCCACGGCCGCTTTCTGGCCCCTCGTCCCCCTCCTTTTCCCTCCCCTATGCCCGCCCCCCCCCGTGCCCTCTCCCCGTCTCCCCCCGACCTGCCTGTTCCCTATGGAGAGCGCCATGGATTTCCAGCCGGCCCCCGATCTGCCAGCCATGGACACAGAAGAAGGGCAGCGCGGTGCCCCCCGAGCCACTGCAGCCGAGGGGCAGCTGGAGGGGCCCGCCTTCAGCAGCACCACTGTGGATCAGCAGAGGAGTCTGGAGCCTGGATCGGGGCCTGCTTCAGCCATGAACCTTAACAGCGGGGATGAACAAAGCGGGCTTTGCAGGAACTCAGGAAGAGAGATGGAAGAGGAGGTGGTGACCACTGGTCCACAGAGCCCCACAGACTGGAGACCGAGTGTTGAGAGCATCTCTCGGGACACGGGACCCCCCCGCACCCCCAGCAGTGGCACCATGGAGCTGGATGAGGAGCCTGAGGAGGAGCCCTCAGAGATGCAGGGGCTGCTGGCCCAGCTGGAGACCCTCAGCCCCAGTCTGTGCGATGCCCCCAACACAGCCCCTGTGGCAGGCAAGCGGGGCTATGCAGAGTGCAGGGGTGAGTGCCAGCCCTGCCCGCTGCACGTGGCCACAGGCAGGGGCCTGGCTGTGCATCCCTGCTGTGCGCAGCACTCGGCCCACTCACGGCCTTGCCACGGCTTGCTCTTTGCTGAGGCCGACCGGGAGGACCTGCTGAACCTCCTGTGCTATGAGGGGGGGTTGCCTGAGGCTGACACTGAGACACCCCTGACCCGCTCTGAAGTCTTGGCTGGGACCAAGCTGGAGATGCTGCAGACGCCTGAGGAACACACTGCTGCCCATGGGCCGGGAGGGCCGGATGGTTCGGAGGAAGGACCTTCTGGCAGCTGGATTTATGGAGATGGGCTCAGTGAGGACAAACCCACCTGTGAGGGCAGTCGAGACAGCTCGCCAGAGCCGACCTGGGCAGAATTGTCTCCTGCTGTGACCCCAGAGAAGGAGCGTCCGCCACAAAGCAGTGTGACTGTGAGTGCAGGCGCATGGCCGTGGTGCTGTGGCAGCAGGCTGCGATGTGCCCTTAGCTCTCCTTCCTTAGGGGATTTTTTGGGCAGAGGGAAGTGAGGGGCAGCATTTCCCTGCGTCTTGTGGGACATTGTGCTGCTAGGGGAGAGCACCCTTACTTGCTCTGGGCCACGCTGTCCTGAATGTGAGGGGAGGGTTGTGCCTGTCTGATCATGGGGGGAAGCCAGTGGGTCTAAACAGTCCCACAGCCCTAGCACCCTGTGCCCTTGCTCATCTGGTGCTCCTCAGGCTCTCAGCCAGCACTTCACTCTTCTGTTGCTTTGCAGAACAAGGAATCCCCCTCCTCCTGCCTGGCCTTCAAAGAAGGTGAGTTGTTTCTCTGCTTGAACCAGGAGTCCTAACCCACCACTGCCTGCTCTGACATGAACATTGGAGTGCCTGGGGGGTCTAGCTCTGCACCCAGAAGAGTCTGCCATGGTAGAGGCATTGCTGCCACTTATTGGGAAACGTGGCTGCAGACTTGGGGTGGCTGGTTTGCTCACAATTTGCGCACAGCTGGGCATGAGGATGCTTCAGGAATCCTGTGGGGTGCCCAGGTTTGGGAAGAGAAAAAGGAGGGCTTTCCAGAGGAAGGGGAGACAGCCCAAGGGGGCTCTCCAGGGGAAGGGGGGGCAGCCCAAGGGCCAGCACTGGTTCCCCTGTTATGCCAGGAGCACATCTCTCAAGCACTGAGCCACTTCCTCACATACAGGAGCACAGCTAACAGGTGGCAGGAGGAAACCAGCCCCTGCTTTAGCCCTCCCAGTCTCTCAGTTCCAGGCCCCTGTGACCCAGAGGATCTTCTGGACGGTGTGATTTTTGGGGCAAAGTACCTGGGCTCCACACAGCTGGTTTCAGAGAGGAACCCCCCTACCAGCGTCCGCATGGCACAGGCACAGGAGGCTGTGGACAGAATCAAGGTGCAGGGAGGGGCATGTCCTGACCTCTTGTGGGTGCTGGGCAGCACTTTGTTGCAGGGCAGGGACCCAGCAATGACTTCATTGAGCTGCTTTGCTCTGCAGGCACCAGAGGGAGAGTCCCAACCCATGACAGAGGTGGATCTGTTTGTCTCCACACAGAGGATCAAGGTGCTGACAGCTGACACGCAGGTGAGCAGGGATGTGCCTGCGTGGCCCTGGTGCTTCTGAGACCTTCCAGTCGGCTGTGGGATCTTCTCTGCCTGCCATGATGGGGGGTCGTGCCCAGGGATGGCCAGGGGCAGCGGCAGCGTGCAGCTGGGAGGAGCTGTCACTCAGAGCAGTGCCACTCTGGCAGAGTGGGATCTAAACCAGAGTGAGCCTGCATCCTCCCAGCATGCAGCAGCACCTGGCTGGCTCGTGTGCTGAATGGAGGGGTGGGCTGAAGGTCTGTGCTGTGTTCCCTCACCAGGAGGCCATGATGGATCACTCCCTGCAGACCATCTCCTACATCGCTGACATCGGCTCCCTCGTGGTGCTCATGGCACGCCGCAAGCTGCCTCGGAGGGCAGAGGCAGCGGAGGAGAAGCGGCTCTACAAGATGATCTGCCATGTCTTCCACTCGGCTGATGTGAGTGGGAGTGAGCCCTGAGGGAGGGTGGGGTGCTGGGGGGCTCCTGGACCCATCCTGCTGCAGTGAGCAGGTGCTTGGCATCACTGTGCTGGGGCACGAAGAGAGGGAGCCCGGGCACCTCTGCTGTGTGGAGTGGCCCAGTGAGAAAAGGAGGGGTGTGGTACTGTGAAGGAGCAGGGCAGGGGGCAGGGTGCCCTGCAGCTCCCAGGTGTGTGCTGGGCAGCTGCTGGGACCAGTTTGGCTATCAGGCCCTGAGCACAAATGTCCCCTGTCTGTCCCCAGGCCCAGATCATCGCTCAGGCCATCGGGCAGGCGTTTGGTGTGGCCTATCAGCGCTTCCTAGAGGCCAACAGCATCGACCCAAGTGAGCTGAGCCCTCGTCAGTACAGCCGTACCCTTGAAGACCAGGAGCAGTACAATGCAGAGCTGACCCACTTCTCCCGGCAGGAGAACTGCAAGGATGTAAGAGCTGCTTTGGAGGGGTGGGGACAGTGTGGGGTACTGGCACAGTGCCCTCTATGTGTCACAGCAAGGATCCCTGAGAGGCTGAGCTGCTTCACAGAATCACAGAATGGCCAGGGTTGGAAGGGACCTCAAAGATCATGAATCTCCAACCCCCCACCACAGGCAGGGTCACCAACCTCCTCATTTAATGCTAGACCAGGCTGCCCAGGGCCCCATCCAACCTGGCCTTGAACACTTCCAGGGACGGGGCATCCACAGCCTCTCTGAGCAGCTGTTCCAGCACCTCACCACTCTCTGTAAATAATTTTCCCCCTGACATCCAACCTCAATCTTCCCTCCCTCAACTCCAAACCATTTCCCCTTGTCCTGCTGTTATCTACCCTTTCCAAGAGTTGATTCCCCTCCTGTTTCTAGGCTCCCTTTAGGTACTGAAGGCTGCAATGATTCACCCCGCAGCCTTCTTTTCTCCAGGCCCAGCTCCCTCAGCCTGTCTTCATAGGCAAGGTGCTCCAGCCCCCTGGTCATCTTTGTGGCCCTTCTCTGGACCCTCTCCAACTGCTCCCTGTCTTATTTGTACTGGGGGCTCCAGTGGGGGCTTCCTACCAACCTAGGCCCTATCCCAGCTCACTCTGAGCCCAGCACCCCCATGGAGGAGGTGTGGCACACAGCCCAGCTCCCTGTCCTGGTCCCCCCTCCTCAGGTCTGCATCCGGAAGCAGAAGGGGGAGATTCTGGGCATTGCCATCGTGGAGTCGGGCTGGGGCTCCATCCTGCCTACTGTTGTCATCGCCAACCTGATGCACGGGGGCCCTGCAGAGAGGTCGGGTGAGCTGAGCATCGGGGACCGCCTCATGTCCATCAATGGGACGAGCCTGGTGGGGCTGCCCCTCACCACCTGCCAGAGCATCATCCGGGTGAGCTGGGGCCGGACCTGGGGGCTCCCACTGCTCTGGTAGAGATGGGAAACAGCCTGGTGGTGTCTGAGGTGTCAGTAACAATGGGGCAGAGGGGCAGAAGGGCCTGTACCTGTCCTGTGCTAATCCTCAGCCTTCCCTTGAGCAACACAGCTCTGTCCTCTCTCAACCCCTCCAAGTGATTCTCTGAAGTCTGACACATCCCCCCCCTCACTTTCCAGGAACTGAAGCACCAGACAGAGGTGATGCTGAACATAGTGCACTGCTCCCCTGTCACCACAGCTGTCATCCGGCGCCCTGACTCCAAGTACCAGCTGGGCTTCTGCGTGGAGAACGGTGTGGTGAGTGCTGTGGGGTGGGAGCAGAGCCAGGCCAGGGCTGCCTGGGGTTTCTTCCACCTGCCTGGCAGAGGGACTTGCAGCCCTGGCTGTGCCTGCGCAGACGAGCCTTCAGCACTGGCAGTTTCTGGGGTTTCACAGGGCTCTGTGCCATGGTGGAAGGTTCCTTGTTTCTCTCCCACAGTGCTGTTGTTTGGGTTTGTCTCCTTGGTGCTCCTCAACTGTTTGCTTTGGGGGTGGTGCTTTCCTCCTGGCTCCCCTGGCGTGTCCTTGGTGGCATTTGTTGCAGTCCTTGCTGGAGGAGCAGGGTTCAGGGCGGTGGTTGTGCACGGCCGTGGGGTGTGAGCACAGCTCACCAGCATTCCTTGCTCCCCAGATCTGCAGCCTGATGCGTGGGGGCATCGCTGAGAAAGGCGGCATCCGTGTGGGGCACCGCATCATCGAGATCAACGGGCAGAGCGTGGTGGCCACACCTCACGAGAAGATCATCCAGATCCTCACACAGGCGGTCAGCGAGGTGAGCAGAGCAGGCAGGGTGGGCGTCTGCCCCCACACTCCCATGGCTGCAGATGGCACAGGCTGGGCTCGGGGACCTCACCCCAGCAGCCTCCAGCCTGGGACTGCCGTCTCCCAGCTGATCTGAGCATCTCTGTCCAGGTCCACATCAAGACCATGCCAGCCTCTACGTACCGCCTGCTGACGGGGCAGGAGCAGCCCGTCTTCCTCTGAGCGCTGCCTGGGCCCAGCTGTCACTGCACACCTCTGGGGCCACCGCTCTGCCTGCTGCCCCAGCACTGCCACCAGAGCCCTCTGGCCCCTGGAGGGCCTAATCCTGCTCCCTTTCAGTTGGACTCAGGATGCAATAGGAGGCTGTGGGCCGATGCTCAGCTTCAGCATTAGGGCCTACAGTGCCCGTGATCCTTCTCCATATCCATCCACCCCTCTCTGCCTCAGTGCCTGTGCAGTGCTGTCCCCCTGCTCCTTAAGGTCCCTCGCCTTGGCCTGGTGCTGGCAGGGGAGAGGGGACCCTGCATGAAAGGCCAGCCCCCTTTTCATCACTGCAGATTGTGCTTTTACACTCACCAAAGGTGCCTTTTCCCAGATGGGGCTGGAACTGTACTGCAGGGGCTCATCCCAGGCAGTCCTGAGCAGCTCTGCCTCTGCATACTGAGGTGTGGGTGCACACTGGCGCCCCAAGGGATAGCCAGCAGCCCCCAGACTCAGCCTTAAGGGCAGCAGCACCCTCAGCACCCGCTCCTCCTCCCCAGCTTTGCCAGGGGCCTGCTGGGCTACAAAGAACCACCTTGTTAGCCCTGTTGCACTGAGCTGGGAAACTACCTCTGCTTCCTCAGCACTGCCTTGAACCGTTCTGCATGCGCAGTGGTACCCCTCAGGGCTGTTCCTTAGTGCAACCAAAGGGAACACGGCATTGCCACGTCCCACAGAGCTTGGGGATGTGAACCCCACAGACCTGTCTGCAGCTGAGGGCTCTGTGGGGATGTGTTGTTCACAAAGGGACAGCTGGGACCCTTTGCCCAAGGTGGCCTGTCACAATTTTGCCTGTGTGGTTGGTTGATGTAAAAAATAAAAGTTTGGGGGAATACTGAAGGCCACATCTCACCCTGGCTGGGCTGCAGCTGAGGAAGCTCAGCTCAAGGGATGCAGCCCTGAGCCCACTGCAGTGCTGGACATCAGCCCAAGGCTGCTGCCCTCAGGAAGGTCCTGCACTGATGCTTACAAGCAGCAGGCTGAGGGCCCTCGCCATGGAGGGGTGTGGATCCCAGCAAGGCTGCCATGCTGCATCTCTGCCCTGCTTGCTGTCACACAACGCACACAGCAGCAGCCCATCCTACTCAAAACGTCCCCTTTATTTCATCCTGAAGCACTGGATGAAACAGGGGTAGGAGGCACTTGGTGGTGCAGGCGCAGCCCGCACAGCTGTGGGGTGTTGTGTGGCACTGCCAGGGCTGTCACCCAGCCCTGGTGGCACGGAGCTGTGGTAGGACTGGCCTGAGGGGCCCTGTGGGGCAGACACACAGTGATGCTCAGGGGTCATGCACAGACACTGATCTCACTACACATCTGTAGCCGGGCCCCACTCGTAGCCTTCATCCTCATCTGAGTCATCCCTGGCTCGTGTGAATCTCTTCCTCACGGCCTCGTGCTCGTAATCCCTGCAGGAGGAAATGCTGCAGTGATGCCTCTGTGACTGATTTATGGAGGCAGTCACTGCCATGCATGGTCAGGCTGCACAGAGCAGGGTACCTGAGGTGTTCCTGTGCCCACTGTCCCTGCGGCTGCTGCTCTGTCACCTGTGAACAAACATAGATTTGAGAGGGGGGCAGGCAAGAATTGTGCCTCAGCTGGGGACTGGGCTGTGATCCCCTAGGGCAACGTGGGCAAGGCACCAACACTGGACCTGCAGACATTAGAGATGACAGCCCTCCTGCCAGGGCCACAGGGGATAGGAATTGACCCCTGTGGCCAGGTTCTGTGCCCCTCATATTGCTGTGGGGGCCCACCTGCTCGCTCACACCATGACTGGGATACGTCTGCGCCGGCTCAGAGGAGCGGGAGAGTGCAGGATGGCTGTAGGCATCCTCCGCCTCGCCGTCAGTGTAGGCACCTCCTTCACCATCCGTGTCATCGTAGTCGCTGTTGGCGTGACTGTCACAGGTCAGGTAGCCTGAGGCTGCCCTGCTGGGAGGGTTCAGCAGCTCCAGGCTGTCCTCCAGCGCCGCGTCCACCTGTGGGTGGGGACAATGAAAACCTGGGTCTCTGGGCACCAAGAGGGCAGATGCAGCCCTGTGCGGCCCCTGCAGGGCTCAGCCTTTCTGCCTCATACATGCTCTGCTGCTGTCCAGATGGGCTGGCTCTGCTGCGTCCTGATGATGTTCTTGATCTCCTCATACCAGGCATTGCCACTGCCGCTGAGGGTGATGGTAGCAGTGAAGAGGTGGCTGCAGTACTTCTTCATCTTGCTGGCCTGGGCGTAGAGGCGCCGGGAGCTCTTCCTGGAGTCAGGTGCCAGCCACTGGCGCATGGCCTTGATGCCCTGCCGGCTCTCGGGCTCACAGAACACCACCATGGGGTAGTACTGCACATAGTTCAGGCGCTCCACCGCCGAGGGTGTGATGTCCAGCAGTGCGTGCTTGTCCTGGGGCAGGGCACCAGCACTCAGTCCTGCTGGGGACAGGGTCACCCACCTGGCTGCCAACACACGGGGAAGGTCTTGCAAGCTCTCACCTTTTCAGCAATCTGCCGCACTGAATCCAGCTTGATGACCTTAGATGATGCCCCATCTCGTGGCACACTCGCTGCAGGACAAGGAGACAGGGTTTGAGAGGGGCTGGGGCAGTTGTGCCATCCCTGTGGGTCTGGCCATGCCAGGCCCCAGGGCTGTGTGCCTCTATGGGGCCTGTCTGGGACCTGACTTGCCTCACAGTGCATAGGGAAGGGGTGCCTGAGTCCAAGAGGATGCTGGGGTGTCATGAAGAGGTCAAAAGGAAGGATCAGGACAGAGTAAAAAGCTCCCAAAGCCACCTACACCAAATGTCCAGCTGCTAAGCATAATTCACTGCCTCCGTGGAAGGCACTTACGTGCAATCTCGAAGAGCTCGGGCTGTTCCATGCTCAGTTTCTGCATGGCAATGTCTGTGATGGGGCCCAGGATCACCACTGGCCGCTTGAAACTGGCTGTGGGGAGAAGACAGAGCAGCTCAGGGGGGCTGGGCTGGGGCAGCACCAGGGCTGAGGACCCTGGGTGGGTCCAGACAGCCCGGTACCCACCTTCCTTCAGGACCACCCTCTCATATGGGGGGTAGTGGCCCTGCTTTGTGAGGGCAGACAGGTCCTCACGGCTCTTCCGCAGCGTCTTCTTGGCTCCCCGCAGGCCCCGCAGCTTCCAAAACTCAGCCCGTGCCCCTGAGGGGTTGGTGCCAGGCGTGGCTTTCAGCACAGACTCCAGGCTGGCAAACTGCTCGGCCCTGGGAAGGGAAAGGGCTCAGGATCTGCAGCCTCTGGATTTGCTCCTTTTATCCAAGGAGTCGGGCAGGAGTCAAGGTCCTCACTTCCTGACAGGGCTGATTCAAGATGGGAAGCCCATCCAGGACCTCCGTCAATCACAGCATCAACAACCCCACCCCAGGCACCAGGAAGGCGTTTCACCAGCTCACGCTTCCCACCACCACCCATCAACCCTAGCCCAGCTCCTACTGGGCCCACCACCCACATCCCTGTATCACTAGAGAGCCATTCCCTGCTTCTGCCCCCCAGCGGGGCCATTCCTGGCTCTTTCCCTACCTGCTCTGGTTGGGGATGATGCCCTTCTCCTGCTCCTGCAGGTCTCTGCCCATGCGCACAGCCAGCCAGCTCCCCAGCTTGCCACGGTACATGGTGTCCAGCACATGGAAGACGTCCCCACGGACAAAGCTGAGCCCCGACGGCGTGTCCTTCTCATAGTCAAAATGCGTCCGGATGTAGAAGGAATCACGCACGTTGGATGAGATCATCTTTCTGTAAACTGGAGCCCGGGGTGACAGTGACCATCAGGGAAGAGCAGGTAAAGGAGGAATTAGGAGTGGAGGAATGTGCTGGGCTGGGTGCAATCTTCCACAGCAGCCCTCAGAGCCAAGGAGGGCCCTGGGGACACCTTATCTACATGTGGTGCTCTTGGGCACACTGGGGACAGTAGGACTTGGCCCACAGCACACAGTGGCCATTTCAAGCTGATCCACAGGGCCAGAAACCCCCCTGCTCCAGGATGCCACTGCACAAATGGCACTCCACGATCATTCAGTGCTCTCCTATCACCTCTCAGGGGGAGAGGAGGATGGCGTGGGGAAGAAGGACTGCATTGTGGGGCAGAGTTGTGGGGAGCTGAGCAGTCTGATGCTCACTCAGAAAAGATGGAGAGACATGAGCCCAGGAAGTCACCAGCCATCACTCACTGTCCTTCTTGCTCTGGATCCACAAAGTGACGTCCTCACCCGGCGGGAGCTTCATGAGGTACTGCACTGCCTCCTCACGGGTCAGGTTCTGGAAACTGGTGCCGTTCACCTGCGTGGGAAAGCATTCAGACATGTCCCACCAGAGGGATGGAGGGTGTGGGTTCCAAGGTGAGCTCAGAGCAGGGGGCCCTGGGAGTAGGAGGAGGAACTGGCCCCTGCTACCCAAGTGCCTGCAACAACCTCTGGGTGATCCTGGGGATGGCTCCTCTGGCACCTGGACCCTGCTGGGTGTTAGCACAGTGCTGGGGACAGGACCATCCCCTACCAACACTGCCTCAAAACGATGCTCAGTGGGAGAAATCCAAATAGCATGAGGGCTATTGGGCACAGAAGGGACAGGGACAAACCAGGCACTAAAGCATTCGGTGCCACTCCTACTCCCAGGTACCTGCAGGATCTGGTCCCCTTCCTCGATGCCCTGGCTGTCAGCTGGGCTCCCCTCCTGCACACCCGACACGAAGATGCCCACGTCATTCCCACCAGCCAGCTGCAGCCCCACGCTCCTGGCCTTCACAAACTGCACAACTCTGGAGTCAGGACTGTACCTGCCCAGGGGAGGCTGCAGTCAGCTTGGTGGTGACACACTGGTGGTCACCAGTGCTGAGCCACCAGCCCTGGAGCTGCCTTGGGGCAGATCCCTGTCTGCTCAGCCCTTCCCACCACCTCTTGCAGAGACTCACTCATCCTTGGGGGCAGCTCGGGCACTGGGTCTGCTGCGGGGACTGTGGTGGCCATCCTGTTCCACAGCTTCCAGCATGTCTGCAGGGAAGGAGAGCTGGTTCAGGAAGTGCTGGTGGCTGTGTGCTTCCCCAGACCACAGAGACACAGGGAGAGCTGGTGGGATGGGAATGGGGATACGGAGGAGCCTGGAACCTGCTCAGAGCCCTCAGCTCCCCCCAGGCCGATCTGAGCTCACCCACCACGGCTCAGGGCATCGTCCACGTTTGTGTTGGTTGCAGCATTCCTGCTTGATCGTCTCCTCTCTCTGGAACAGAGTCAGGGCAGGATTTAAGGAGGGCATGGAGGTGGGGGTTTGATCAGCATGGGCAAGATGGGGGCCAAAATGCAGTGCCACCTTCAGTGAGCTGGCTCCAGCATAGAGGAGAACCAGGCCCTCCAGACAGGCAGAGAGCATGGGGGAGAAAAGGAGGGCTCGTGGGGACACAGGGATGGGGACACAGCAGGACTTACCCTGGTGAATTCCTGGCAGCAGCTGGAAGTCGTGGGGAGGTCTTAGGGGATGGTGGGTGGGACAGGTCAGAGTCGATGTCGGAGATATCTGCAGCGACAGAAAGGGAGAGGCATCAGTGTCTGTCCAGTCCCCGCACTGTGCAGTGGGACCCCAGTACTGCCACTCTGTCCCCTCACCGTCCATCCGGGAGCTGTCACTCTGGTAGTCTTCCATGTTGGGGATGTTGATCAGGAACTGCCGGTGGTCCCGGAGGACGAGCAGGGTCAGGATCCCTTCTGTCTGCTCAATGAGCCGCTGGGTGTCAGCCAGGGACATGTCCTTGCTGGCCACCCCGTTGATCTGGAAGGGCAGAGCAGGAAGGCCTCAGGGTGCTCGCTCCTGGGAAAGGCACCCCAGGAAAAC